TCGGAGATCGAGCTCGAGGACCTAGGATCGAGGATCGAGGACCCAGGATCGATTGTCGAGGATCTCGGATCGAGGACCAAGGATCTAGGATCGAGGACCGAGGATCGAGGACCTGGGATCGAGGACCTGGGACCGAGGAGCGAGGATCGAGGTGCCAGGACCCCTCTTCCCCCGCTTGGTCTCCTGAAACGGGCACGGACAAAATTTGAGGAGCGACAAAAGGACGTACACGTACATGAATCCACGCTGGTTTCGAGAGTATGCATTGCGCAAATGTTCGTATAACGCGGCCGGTCTCGGGGATCGAGGGGCCGTGTTCATGTACATAGCTGGGCGCGTACGTCCTTTGTGGGCTCCCTAAAAGTGGCACGATGCCAAGCACCAGATGTTGCCCGACACTGTCAGCGGCCGCTGTTGGCAGGGCGGCACTCTGCCCCACAAGGACGAAGCCCGCTGCGGCATCGACAGCGCGTCGTGCTCGAAATGAACACTGCTGTCGTCGGGGGTCTTCTGACCAGGGTCATTCCAGACCCGGGTCAGCAGGAAACCGAAAAACTGCAATGCAGAAAAAAACTGCAACGCAGGTCTTCGCAAACCCGGGTCAGCCAATAGGCGCGGCCGCCTCGCGGCCACGAGCGGCTCGCTGACCCGGGTCAGCGAGAGGGGGGCTTCGCAGGATCCTGCAGGATCCGGTGCCCTGGCTGACCCCCGCTTGCACTGACCCCCGTCTCTTAGGCCCCGACTGGAAGGCGGCGGGTCTTGACCCGCCTCGAACTCATCCCCCTCTTCGCGGCGAGCAAGGCGGGGGGAGATCAGAAGGAGAAGGCCCTCTTACAGGGTAGCGGGCCTGCTCAGCAGCGGACCCGGTGCCCTGGCGGACCCCCGTCTGCACTGACGCCCGACTCCCAGGCCCCCGACGGGAGGCGGAGCCTTCTTCGCCGGCGGCGCGCCCTCCGCCTGCCGGGCCGCCAGCCTCTCGGGCCCTGCGCCGCCCGCGGGCTCCGCCATGGCAGCACGCCGCGCCCGTCCGCTGCGGCCCCTGCTCCGCCTCCTCCTCCTCCTCCTCCTCCTCCTCCTCCTCCTCCTCCTCCGCCTCCTCCTCCTCCTCGTCCTGCTCGTCCTCCTCGCCCCTCCCCGCCCATTTCATCATCCCCCTCCTCCTCCTCCTCCTCCTCCTCCTCCTCCTCCTCATCTTCATCATCCCCCTCCTCCCCCTCCCCCTCCTCCTCCTCCTCCTCCTCCTCCTCCTCCTCCTCCTCCTCCTCCTCCTCCTCCTCCTCCTCCTCCTCCTCCTCCTCCTCCTCCTCCGTCTTGTCATCCTCCTCCTCCTCCTCATCCACATCCTCATCCTCATCCTCATCCTCCTCTCCTCCTCGCCCACTCCATTTCTTGATGAATAACTCTTCCCTGTCGCACCCCGAGGCCAGTCGAAAGGGCGGGCTCGACGTTTCGCCTGGCACTTCCTTACCATCCAGGATCCTGAAGATTGCAACTTGGAACAACTCCACGGATGGAGGACGGGACGGGCGGAGACACAGAGGAGAGCAAGAGGCGGGAGAGCGGAGAGAGGGGAAGGCGGGCAGACTGGGGGAGCAGATACCGCAGAGAGGCAAGGGCCAGGAAGAAGCAGGGCAGAGGCGCAGCGGCGGAGGGGGAAAACTATACATACACACAGACACACACACACACACACACACACACACACACAACCACACATTCCGAGCATGTACTGCGACACTTGGAGGCTCGGACGCCCCAATGTTCGATACCCCCTTGGCGCCCACATATGTGAAATCATGTGCCAAGTGCGAACACGCCAGACACATGTAAGAATCCACCAGCCCACTCAAAGGCTCCCCTGCGGTCCAAGGGCCGAAGGCCCGACGGTCGCAGAGAGCCCTGGGCATACGCCCTTACCGAGAAAGAGTATGCCAGTATTCGTGCTCACGCCTGGTTCTCTTCATGACGTCGGACCTCCAGAAATATATCTCTTCGCGGGGAGGCTGTCAGCAACACACACGCCACAGGACCAGAACGAGGCATGTGCCAGGGCCCGTGGCCCGCAGCCAGGGCGGAACCCCACCGCCTGGTGCCCCCACCTGTGAGCACAGGACGCCCACCTCCTGTCCCCTCGCTCGTCGAGTGTGGTGTTCTGCAGAGGCTGTCGTGATCGCAAGCCCTATAGCTGGAACGGAGGCGGCGTATCTTCTGGACGTTGACCGGATGGCCTCTCTGCGTGCACTCCGTCTCGAGGTTCGGCAGGCTCCGAGGTGGACCGGGAGCTCCTCCCGAGGTGGCCGTGGACCCGAGAGTACGGGGTAGGGTCACGGTGCCTTCCCCTCGCCAGTCGGCGGCCCGCCCATGGGGGTGAAGGAGGCAGAGCGGGACGGGCCTTCGCAGAAGGCGGCGGGGCTCTTCAGAAGCCCGTCAGCCTTCGCAGAGGCCATCTGTAGGAAGCCGAACTCTCTATACACCGACGCTGTTTCCGGCCCTGCACTGAAACTCGCACACGAAAGCGGATCCTGGTGCATACGGGATCTTGGTGTATACATGTTTCGTTGCTTCCTCGGGAAAGCGGGGTAAAAGTGTACACCACACCACCCCGACGTCGTCCCCGACCCTCAAAAATTCTGGGACTGAAACACATCCCGCCCTCGGAGAAAGCTCGGAGAGCTTGCCCGCTGAGCACCCCCCCGGGGCGCGCCGCCCGCCGACCCTGGCCTGGCATGTCCTCTGACCCCCCATCCCGCCGGGAGAACAGCGCCCAATAGTTCAAGAACAGCGCTCCTCCTCCTCCTCCTCCTCCTCCTCCTCCTCCTCCTCCTCCTCCTCCTCCTCCTCCTCCAACCTCCTCCTCCTCCTCCTCCAACCTCCTCCTCCAACCTCCTCCTCCTCCAACCTCCAACCTCCTCCTCCTCCATCCTCCTCCTCCTCCTTCTCCTCCTCCTCCCCCTCCCCCTCCTCCTCCTCCTCCTCCTCCTCCTCCTCCTCCTCCTCCTCCTCCTCCTCCTCCTCCTCCTCCTCCTCCTCCTCCTCCTCCTCCTCCTCCTCCTCCTCCTCCTCCTCCTCCTCCCCCAGACGCCTTCTTGACGGCCCTGCTGGGGCCCGAGAACGGCCCCGGGAGGCAGAGCCAGGCGAAGAGCCGACCCGAGGCCAGGCCCTCGGACCTCGCTCCCCCTCCCTGCTCGCCGGAGCCGGGCGCCGGGCCACCTCGTGCCCCGACGTCGGCTTCGGGGCAAGGGGCGCGCCCTTGGCGGGAGCCGAGCGCGCGCTCTCGTGCGAGGCCGCTCCGCTGCGCAGCGGAGCGGCGGGTCGCGCGCGGGCCGCAGCGCGCCCGGCGGGCGGCCGCGGGCGTCGGGCGCGGGGGCGGCCAGCGGTGCGACGTCACAGGGGGTGGTCCACCTTGGCGCGCAGGGGGGGAGCGGGGTCCACGCGAAGACAGGCCCTTTGCGTGATCTGCGGGGACCTCCGCGGCCCCATCATGGGCGTGGTGTCCACGGGGGCTCGCCCAGACTTCGGCCACTCCTCGTCCCCCGGTCATCCAGGTGTCATCCAGATGTCGTCCAGGCGTCCACCGAGTCCGACAAAATCCAGACGAAGCCCCCAAACCGCAAGAAATTCTGGGACCCTGAGGCTCCCATGACGGACCACACCTGGTCCTGGTCCTCTCGCGACAGCTCGGGACCCGATTTACGCCGGATGCACGTCGGATTTACGTCGGGTCTCCGTCGGAGAACGTCGGCTTCCCGTCAGATTCACGTCGGATTTCCGTTGGACTTACGTCGGAGCATCGCCGCCCAAACGTCGACCCAGACCTTACGGAGCGGACGTGTGGACTAGATGATACAAGTATTGCGCGCCGCGCGAGACCTCCAAGATCCTCACAGTGGTCCCTGGGGGGGGGGCGGTCCCCGGGTCCGGCTCGTCCTCCCGAGTCGCGATCCGGCAGTGCCCGGGGCCCGAGGAGGGCCCATGCAGGCCCAATGCGGCAAAGAGCGCCAGGGCCGAAAGGATCCTGAGCGCACGCCAGAGGGGACAGGAGGGAGGAGGAGGAGGAGGAGGAGGAGGAGGATGCATGCAGGAGGAGTAAGAGGAGGAGGAGGAGGAGGAGGAGGAGGAGGAGGAGGATGCATGCAGGAGGAGTAGGAGGAGGAGGAGGCCCAGCGTCGGAATGAAGTAGGAGGAGGAGGAGGAGGAGGAGGAGGAGTAGAGATGGGAACAGGCAGCATGCGCGATGAAACAAAGCCCTGCGGCCCACGGCAGCCCTGCGGCCAGGACCCCAGGGCCCCTCCCACCCGGGGCCCATGCTGCCCACGGCAGGCCGACGGCGGGGACGGGAGCTCCAGGGCCCAACTCCCCCAGGGCCTCCCCTCCTCCTCCTCCTCCTCCTCCTCCTCCTCCTCCTCCTCCTCCTCCTCCTCCTCCTCCTCCTCCTCCCGTGCTGGGCCGCGGGAGGCGGCCCACCATGCCCACGCCCCAGGCGTAGTCCTCCTCCGCCCCGTCGCTGTCGCCGTTGCTGCCGGTGCCCGGCGGGAAGTCCTCCTCGTTCCTTCGTTGGGTGGGAGATTACGTCTTAGACTGGAGCTGTGCAGTGTTATATGGAGCTACCGCTGTATGGCATAACGTTGCACCAAGCCTCCTCGCTCCTCTGCGCCAGCAGCTCCCCGGCGGGCCCGCCGCGGAAGTTGGCGAAGAGGCGGAAACGTTAAGTCGGGCGTGTCCCCCTACAGGGGGGGGATTATATCTTCGACAAAACATAAAAGATGCCAAAAAAATACCCCAAAATGATTTTTTTAATATAAAAAACTCAAAACAATCCCTGACTATTTTGTTGACTATGTTTGAATACTCCTCCTGTTTTGTTTGACTTTTTGATTTTCAGGCCCCGGCTCGGTAAGATTAGACTCGGTAAAAATAGATCTCGGCTAAACTAGGTCGGCATCTGATATCTAATTTGAAACGAGTGGACTGTACTCCTCCTGTAGAGGTACGGGCCCGACTTAGCGGCAGCGGCCCAGCTCCGCCCAGGCGGCGCTCTGCTTCGGGACGAAGGCCGCCGGGAAGGCGCCCAGCTCCGCCGCGGCCCACTGCTCGTTGTCGGCCGCCGTCACGAGCAGCAGGCGGCCCTGGGGGGCCAGGAGGGCGCGCATGGCCTCTGCGTAGCGCTCCTGGAGTCCTCCTCCTCCTCCTCCTCCTCCTCCTCCTCCTCCTCCTCCTCCTCCGCCTCCTCCCCCTCCTCGTCCCCCTCCCCCTCCTCCTCCTCCTCCTCCTCATCCTCCTCCTCCTCCTCCTCCTCATCCTCCTCCTCCTCCTCCTCATCCTCCTCCTGCTCCTGCTCCCCCTCCTCCTCCTAGATGGGGTCGGAGTAGATGGGGTCGGAGGATCGCGCCGCATCGCCGATGCATCGCCGATGCATCGGCGATGCATCGGCGATGCACCGGCGATGCACCGGCGACGTGGGCGATGCATCGGCGACGGCGACGTGAAGCAAGTCGGGCTCCGCATCGCGCCGCATCGGCGATGCATCGGCGATGCGGCGCGATCCTCCGACTCCATTTGCTCCGACCCCATCTAGGAGGCCCAAGTTCCAACGTTGGGACGTTGATGTGCGGTGGGTCGGCCAGGACCATGCCACACCTGCCCAGCAGGTGCCCAGGCAGGCTCGCTGCGGGTTCGCGGTAGTCAAAGAACACGAAGTGCTCGTTGCCGGGCTCCCATCGCCGATCGAACTCCAGGAGCCACGCGCTCTTTTGGGTCTCCGGGTCGAGGGCGAAGGCAGGCGAGGCTTGGGGCTGCGCAGAGTCGGCCGCCCAAGGGGCAGCCCAGGCTGCCCTCAACAGGCCAGCTGGGTATTACTCCAGTCCTCCCAACTGAGGTCCGAGCAGAAGGGGTCGGACGATGGCGCCGCATCGTCGATGCAGCGCCGGTCCGTCGGTGATGTATCAGCAACGTGGGCGTGGAGAGAATCGGGCTCACAGTCGAACCGCATCGCCGAAGCATCGGCGATGCGGCGCGACCATCCGACCCCAACTGTTCGGGCCCCGTGTGGGAGACCTCGAATTTCATAACGAGGCCAGCCTGGAATGCCTCCATGAGGCTGCCTGCGCGTAAACCCCAAGCCTTGCCAGCGAAGAACACCGAGGGCGCGGACAGAAGCGCCACAGGACCATCGGCGCGGCCGAGCCGGCACAGCTCCACAAAGCAGCGCTGGGTGCCAGGAGCGTTCCAGAACTGGCGCAGGTCGTGGTCCTCCGCACCGAAGCCGCCAGAAACGCCCCCGACGGCCGCCGAAGGCCGCCGAAGGATAGTGTCGCCGAAGGCCGCCGAGGGCTTGAAGGCAGCCTGGGGGCTGAACTGGTTGGGACCCCAAAGGATCTGTCTGGAGGGGAGAGGCATATCCCGCACAGTTTCGGTCCACTGACCCCTCCCCGCGTCCACCTGGTGCAGTTTTTCACCCTGGATTAATTTTTGACTGCCCCGGGGCCCGAAAACCGACCCCAGCGAGCGAAAAACGCCAAAAACCTCCCCGAACCACCTTGCGCCCCCTTCTTGCTCACCGGACCAGTGCAAGCCCAGCCGACTCCAACCGAGGGCCGCCGAGGGCTGCCGCAAGGCCGCCGAAGGCCGCCGAGGCCCCGCGAGGGCCGCCACTGGGGGCCCGCCAACAGGCCGCCGAGGCCCGCCGGCGGCTGGCCCGGGCGGCGAAGCCTCCGCGCCGAGGGCGGCCGCCGCTCCCTGACACGGCGCGCCCGCCGCAGGGTCGCAGCCGCCGCCGCCGCCGGAGGGCATGGCGCGGCGGCGCCTGGGGCTCGCAGCCTCTGGGGCCCCGGCTGCGGACACGTGCTTCTGGAGGGGCCCTGACATCCTCGCGGACAGACAGACAGGCAGAGGCCCGCTCAAATCACAGGGGTTCGACAGTAAACGGGCGAGGCTACCGCCGCGCAGCGGCCTGAGCGCGCACGTGCGCAACGGAAAGCGAGCGCTCCGTCCCCGAGGGGGGGGGAGAGCGGAGAGGGGCAGCGGTCCTCGTCCTCGCGTCGTGGACAAATCACGACGGATGGTTTGGGGCAGCTTGAAACCTCCGCGGGCCCTCACCAGGCCCTGAGACCGCCAAAGTACTACTCAGGATGGAAAACCGGTCCGCGGGAAGATCTCCAGACCTCTGGGGAGTGACATTGCGAAAGAAGCACGACGCCCGATGTTCGGGGGGAGAAAGGGAAAGGAAACGCGCCTAAGAACCCCCAGACCACCCAAAAGACTCCAGAATGGACGGGGGGCCCGTTCGGAATGGAAGGCGCCCACAGAAGGGAGTCTCGTCCCTAGTCCGCGAAAGTCCGGAAGGCCTCTGCAAAACAATTGGGAACCATGATGGGGCGCCGAAATGCGATGCAGTGACGACACCACGAATGATCCGACTTTACACATCTTGGCCTCGCTAGGGCCTCTCGTTTCGGCCGAGGGCTTTGGAACACAAGCCTGGTCGCATTTGACCGAAGTCTTATGTGCCCGTAGGGGGTCAGGCGCGCTGCTTCCCAAGCGCCCGCAGCTGCTGCTTGGCAACCGCCCCACATCGACCACAAAGCCACATGTCTGGGTGGCGATACACATTGAGGCGGTGGAAGGGGCGAAACCAGCCCCCCGCCACAAGGACCCGAGGCCCAACGGACAGAGACACAATCACACCATTGGCATAGACCGACCGAGGGCGCGTGAGGTTCCAGATCTCCATCAGCGTGGCCTGCGCGGCCGGGCCGAAGCAGTTCAAACACCGTCGCCCACAGTTCGGCAGAGAGTGTTTCGACATGAGCGGGGCGAAAAATCAGTAGCAGCAGCAATAGGCCGAGGGGGCTGAGGAGGCGGCGGCTCCCTTCGCGTTTCTCGGCCAAGGCAAGCTGCTTCTCACCAGCAAAACAGCCCATGCTCGCTCGCAGCAGACGAGGGCGCACCAGCGGCGCTCCTCTCTCGAGCAGCAACACCCTGCACCCCTCTTCTGCGTGGGACTCGGCGTTGGGCGCGGGTGAGCCCCGCCAGCTCTTCGGCCACCAAGTCTCCCAGCACCAAGCTTCTCATCGCCTTTCCAGACAAAGCACCCTCTTCAGAGACAGTATCCTCTTCAGAACAATGCGAGCGCATGAACACGATGGCGATATAATATGGGCTTCTGTGTCTCCCGAGGTGCCCGACTGCCTCTCGCAAGTCCACTCCCCCCCCCCCCCTCCCCCGCAGGGTATATGTTAAGCTGCTGATACCATCCACACACAAGACAATCACACACAGAATATATGCGGCGCCTGGGCCCCGCCCCCCCCCTGTTGCACGTCTGGCCCCATGTTTCGCTATACATCGGCCCGGGCAGGCGACGCTACCGCCGCTCAAGCTATGGGCGCCAAACCTCCGAACCAAAATCCTTCGCATGTGCTCACTGGCGCAATGGCTTGGCTCGTGGGCTCGTCGGGTATGTCATGGGGTTTGGCTCATTCGTTGCATCTGAATTTCCCAGTTGCGCAGCGGGGATCTCACTACCGCCTCACATTTGTCGCTCAAGCCCGTGCCTGGAATTCTCAGTCGCGCCCGAATTCATGACGTGGGCCAACGCACTCCAACAGCAACCGCGGCCAAGACCTCGGCTAGTCTTCGACCATGCTCCACCTGTGACATGCGGCGCAGCATCTTGCAGGAGGAGGCGTTGTTAACACTTGGTTTGGCTCCACCTCCAAAGTAGTGCTTGCTCGCCGTGGGACATGCCCACTTCCGCTCTGTTTCTCGAACATCCCGGAGCAAGACGTCGTGGGGCACCGTGACGCTGGCCTCGTAGATGTTGTCGGGGAACGACCACTCCCCGCAGAGATCGAGGCCAGCCTGGTAGGAACACGTTGAAGCATCCTGCGGGTTCCATCCCAGCCGTAGCACTGCGAACGACTGTCTCAACTGAGGCCCCGCATCTTTCCACAGGGGCTTGCCAGACTCTGCGAACTCCAGCGCGAGCCGTAGGGCGGCCACAACATACTTTCATCAAACAACAAATCATCTAAACTGGGCACAACAGCGCGGGGTCTGTCTCTGAAGCTCTGAGATCCAAGATACGTGCGGAACCACTCCCTTCGATGACGACGCACGCACCAGCGCCAACATGCGGCGCCACTGGGCGAGCTGGGCGTCGAAAGCCCCGTGGGCCCGATGTCTTTTAGGACCCGCTGGTGCCCCCCCTTGTCGCTGCAATTTCGCCATCGCCTGACACCAACTGAATGTTATGGTAAATCGTCGCATGTTCGTGATCATGGCGCTGCGTTTCCTTTTCCCGCTTCATTCTGGCGGTTCTGGCCTGATGCCCGCATCCGAAATCGACTCCCAGGTGTGCTTCTCGAGGAGTGCGGGCGGCAGAACCCCCCCCCCTCGGACCAGCCTCGCCACTTCCCGAGCGCCACGGCGCCGCGCGTACATCACCACCGATTTGGCCGCCACCTTGAGAGACAATTGGTCTAGCTCCTGGCATGTCCGAATGATGTATGGTTCCAGCGTCTGTCTGGCAGCTTCCCTGGCTCCGTTGATCGCTCGGTGATCTTACAGCGTTCGAACGCGCGCAGCGCCACGCACTGCAACTAAAAACTGCAGCCGCAACGCTGCCGTCACAAGATTTGCCCATGGGATACTTTCGTAGAGAAGCTCGATGACGAGCACGCTGCGACCGCACCTCAGCGTCACGTCGCGCGCCAGCACCTCACCCACGACCAGCCGGCACGCCGTCTGCACGCGAGAGTTGCCTGAGATGGCAGAGCCCCAGTGCTGGGCACCCCCATTACTCCACGCACGCAGATAGGGCCCTCTCGCAAGAGAAACAGACGCCCAAGCATTGAAACAGGATCGGCCTGTCTCCAGCTGTCCTCTCGGGCGCGAGGTTCCCCACGGTGAGACGGGTCTGGATGGGCCGCGCTGGCGTCTACATCTCCTCGACCACCTGCTGGATGAAGTCTAGCCCGCTCGCAGCCGCCTCTGGAAGTCTGTCGTAGCGCGCCGGCACGACGTGGCCCACCCCGGAGCCAGCCTTCGAACTGATTCTACCCGATGTTTACGCGAGGTCGTCAGCCACCAGCGCCAGTAAAGACTTGCCTTCCGCTGCCACTCGAACGGTTCTAGATACTTCCACGGGTCTGGACACCCCCTCGACCTGGCCCAAATCAACTTGGCGTGGCACAAGCAGCTTTTGAAATACCCGTCCTCACTCGTCAAAGAAACCCTTGGGTGGAAATACACCTGAAGCCCGCTGAAGGTTGCCAGAGGTGGCAGTGGCGCATGCACCGAGGATGTTGAAATTAGAAATCGCCTGTGGCTCAACCACCCATGTCCCGAAACCGTGCCTGGCTGAATGGGCGGCCACTCTTTCCCTCCAACATGAAATTCCGACTCTGGCCCGCCGTTAGCGCATCCGGCCAAATATCCCACGATGCATTTATGCCTGATCGCAACAGTCCATGCGCTCCAGCAGGTCGGCCCCCTAGGAGTTTGAAGGATGCCGCCTGGCTTCAGGACCTGTTTCGGCCCCTCCCCTCTGCGTCGGCGCCGCGCCGAGTCTCCCAAGATCGCGCGCACTCGCATCCACCACTGGGGTATGTTGTCTCTCTGCGCTACGTCTCATCCACATGCTGGTTGTCTCGCCGGGCCAACTTTGAACTGCGCCCTCGAAACGCGACGGGGCGGCATGCCAAGATGAGAGAGAATAGAATGTCCCACCTTGGAGACACACACACACACACACACACACACTCCATACATTCCCGATCTAATCAACCTGGCTCGAGCCGCGCAGTCTGGACGCACGAAGCGAAGCCCACTCCGCGTCTGCAGCGCCCCCAAAGTCGCCACGGACGGCAAACAACGGCCCTGGGCAAGACTCACCATGGAACGAGCCCAGGGTCACCAGTGGCACTGGAATTTGAAGCCTCGCTTTGAATCCTTGAAACTCCAAGGGGACTGGGCCCAATTGGGCGGGGAGGTCAAGGCCCGCCCCGCCGCGCGCGGAGACACCTGCTGGGAGGAGCAGATGCCATTGTTGCGGGTGGCACGCAGCACGGCTTCCGAGAGATCAGGCGTTGCAGAATTCTGGAGCGCCGCGCGCATGCCAGCATCTCCACATAATCAAACACATGAGCCCACGGGCCCTCCTCTCGCCTGGCCAAGAACCGAGATATCCACCAGCACCCTCGAGAGGTCCCCCTGTTGGCCCCACGCCATCAGCATCACCGAACATGCTACAAACACTGGTCAGACCGCAATGAAAACGCCTCCAGTCTGGCAGCGCATGATCGGGCATGCGCCCAGCCAGCCTTGCTCGCAAGCGCGGCCCCCCACGAAGCCTCGGGGCCGAAGGGGGCCCCAGGGGGGGGCCATGAGGGGGCGGGCGCCGAGGATGAGACCAGAGCCAACTGGATGGCAAGAGCCTGGCGTCGTCCCCACGGGGGGCCGCTCTGACGGCCTGGGTGTCTTTCACGACGCACGCAACGGACTGGCTACACGCAGCGCAACCAAGGCGGGTGCATGGGCCTAAGTTTTACACAAATATGCCCGCTGGGCCTGCTGGCGCCGCGTCGCCGCGCAAACTGCGCTTCCCAACGCTACGGGCTCCATGCTGAAACCGCCGCCAACAACCCAAGGCAACGAGAGCGACTCAGGGAAATCTCCCATCTATTTTCTCCCAGCCATCCCGATCCTTGATCGGCCGTGCATCACGACGGCCACGATCGGGTAGCCAGCGAAGCACAGCACCAATGGCAAGAATTCGCCCAACCCAGTTTGATCTGATGCTCGAAAGCGCCCTGCAGCCACGCGCCCAGCACGAAGAACGCGGGCGTGGAGCTGCCCCTGCCCAAGAAAGATCCCCGCTCCTCCATGAGAGGTCGATTTCATAGGTTCAGATAACAATTTGCCCGCGCGCCGGGCCTCACTCACGTAAACCCGAATGTGCAAGACTCTGGGCTTTTTTCATTTCATCTCATACGCAGCGCCAGCGCTGGGCCAGCCGCGCGCGCTGGGCGCCCGCCCGGGCCCTCAGCCCCCGCAGCGCAGGCGACCTACCTCTCCGCGGGGGAGGGGGGGGAGCGCGGCAGGCGCGCCCGCCCGGGCCGCCTCCCGTTTGGTAGAAGTCTGTCACTCCCCTCGAACTCCACTCATTGATCTCGCCGTCCTTGCGCGCGTGGGCCTCGGTAAAAAGCCCTGCGCGGATACTAAGCAACATCCCGTTCGATATAATTCCAGACCTGGTCGGCGAAGGCTGCGACGCTGCCG